CTAGCTGCCCTTCAGGTCTGAAATTGAACCCATACCCATGGCTTCCAGCCAAACAAAAGACAGGCATATGAATTAAACATTTACCTGAGGTACATACACTCCTTGGAGAGAAGAATCCTGGAAGAAAGAAGGGCTGTTTATGACACAGGGAGACAGCTCAGTGGACCAGAGTACATGGAGGGATAGACATCAGGAAGAGGTAACTAATGGGAAGAAATAGGAGGGGAGCTGTTGTATTGTGGTAAATTGTAGTCAATGTTATGAGACAAAGTGTGTGTGAACTGCTGTATGGAGTGAATTTGCTCTGTAAATTTTCACCCAAAGCACAATGAAAATAAGTATTTTTTTCCTGGATCTTGATACATAGAAGAGTCTTACCTCATTATTTTAATTTGTTTCAAATATTTTCTCATTTTTCTTAAGCCAGTTGTGTATTCCTTTGCTCATATTTTGAGTGAGATGTTAATGTTTTGCTTATTGACTTACAAAAACTTTATTAACAACGTAACCATTTTCTCATCATGTTATTAGAAAAATTTTATCCTAGTTGTGCACTTTTTAAATTTTGTTTTTGATTTATGAAATTTTATTTTTTTACTGTAAACTAATTGTCTTTTCTTTTCTATTGCTTTTTTGTTAAGACGTCTTTCCCATCCTGGACTCTAAAAAAAATAAATAAATAAATTTACCTATGTTTTCTGCTAACTTACATAGTTTTAATTTGTAGAGTCAATTTTTCTAGAAGCTCTGGTGGCACAGTGGTTCAGTGCTTGGCTGCTGACTGAAAGTTAAGTGGTTTGAAACCACCAGCTGCTCAGTGAGAGAAAGATACAGCAATTTCCTTCCAGCCATGGAAACCTTATGGGGCAGTTCTACTCTCTCCTATAGGGTCTCTGAGTTGGAATTGAATTGACAGCGATGAGTTTTATCTGGTTATTCTGGGATTTATTTTGGAATATTACTCATCTTTCAAAGGAAAAGAGCTTCCTGCTCCAAAATTGATATGTCTTATTTTACTAATCAGAGATTTCTTTGTCATAAAGTTTTATCAACAACTGCTCTAGACACAGTTTCACAGCATTGGTTTAAATGTTTTTAAAATCTATGGATAAAATTGAGGTATGTTACACAATGGAATACTATGCAATGCTAAAGAATAATGTAGAATCTGCAAAACACCGCATAACGTGGATGAACTTGGAGGGCATTATGCTGAGTGAAATAAGTCAGTCACAAAAGGACAAATATTGTAT